CCACCTGAGCTGAGGGGCCCAGAACTGTACTCCGTACTCAAGGTGTGGCCTCATCAGTGCCAAGTACAGGGGCAGAATCACCTCTCTGGTCCTGCTGACCACACTGTTCCTGACCCAGGCCAGGATGCCATTGGCCTTCTTGGCCACCTGAGCACACTGCTGGCTCGTGTTCAGCTTTCTATCTATCCAAACTCCCAGGTCCCTTTCTGCCTGGCTGCTTTCCAGCCGCTCTGGCCACACTGATCAGGTTCTTCTCTTCGTGTTTTAAGAAACATCTAATGGCTCATCTCCATGCTAATAAGTAGTAGAATGGTTTGCTCAATCTGCCAGTTCCTCTCAAACACAATGTAAATAGAGTAGCACCTGTAGAAGTATAACTTAATACCAAGTTGGTATTACAGATCCCATGGCAGATAATGCATGAGTGCTGAGGTGGCATTTGCTACCATCTAACAGTGTACTTGTGCAAAAATAGCCTGGCACATGTTCTTGCTATTACTAAACATAACTGTTTACAAGTAAGTTTACTAAAGTAGTGTAGAGTCATTTTTCATTAATGCCTGTTGCTTTACAGGTGGGGATTGGTCCCTTCATTCTTAATTCGGTTGAAGCATGTTTGCATCCCCTTTTCATTAACTATATATTATTCCTCATAGTTGTTAGGGGCTGTTCTTTGCAAGGGAATGTGGACGAAAGAAGAGTCAATGCTGTCTACTATGGGCCTGCTCCAGATCCCTAAAATTGATCATAATCATTCCAATTAATTGTTTATCCCAAACAGAATAAAGACATCATGCCTAATGACTAACAAACCTAATGATAACCACATAAATCCTTGTGAGTAAAGAAAATTATTGCATTCATATGAGAAATAATTCACTTGTCTTTTTTTAAAATAGCTGTTAGTTTTGTTTAACCTCCGGCACTGTTAAAATCCTTGCAGATATCATAGCAATATCCATTGTTTTACTTGTGCAAGTATATGATTTCTTCTGGAGGTGTGGAGTAAACTAAATTTTATTCTTCACACACAGCCTTTCAACTTCAATAGTCAGAGAGTATCACTGTATCATTTTACTGCCTGCCCTCCTAGTGCTGGCCTTTATCTTCCCTGATTGAGAATCCTCAGCCTTTTTATTAGGCATACTGAAAATGGGAAACTCCCCTGAGTTCTGTTGATGGGAGTGATCTTGTTACAAGTTCAAGAGCCTTAGACTTCTTATGTGGATTTATGCTTCCCACAGAATGTCAAGGCCATTTATATTTCTTTGTGAAAAACGATCAATATCAGTAACTAAAGCACTGAAAGGTTTTGAAATCTTTTTTGGCATTTCTCATAAGAAACAGGTGTCAGGTCTCGAATAACTTAACTTTTGCTACTTTTCTCTTTCTTTGGAGCTGGTTGTTTTTTTCTCCCACTCAGAAATCTGTAAAGGTACATTGCACACCTCAGAAAGGGCCTACTTACTCAACAGAACTTGCAGCAAGGTGTAACCGTGCCAAAGCATCCTCTGCACTATGCAGCTCTGTA